CTCTAAGCTTGCCTTGGTGTGCTCCTTTGGAGATATATATATATATATATATATATATATATATATATATATATATATATAAATTTCTTAAAAAAAAACAAGCAATATTCACTTACCAGGTGTCAGGAGCTGTGCTGGACAAGGGGATGGGGGCACAGATAAATCAGAGTCCAACCTGTTAACGTAAATCAGTTGGAGCTAAAATAGTGCTGTCCTCCCACTCCAGTTGGGTGAAAAGAGTAATCTGGTGGAAAGGAGCAGTAGTGAAGTGAGAGTACTGGCAGGAATACGTGCTCTTTTCTTTTTTGATTTTTATTTTTTGGTGGTACTGAAGTGGCACTCCCTCTCTCCACAGAAAAGCCCTCTTCACCATGGCTGATTTTAGGACTGTCAGAAAAAGAGTCCATTGTAGATAAACTTCCTATTTTCATGTCGCCCTGTTTTACTTGGCCACTGGCCGAGAAGATACCAGCACTCCAGGTGCTGGACACCCCCTTACTAGTTTTTCACAAACGTATCCAGTATAGTACTTTGAAGAAATGTGCAAACAAGGCCTCTGGCCTTGAGCTGGGCTTCACAGAGATGTCTACATTTTTAAGATAAGTTACAATTGGGCTCCATGGTAACAGCTGGCAGGGGGAGGGAAGAAAGAAGCTCCCCCCTTCTCAGGTGTTGTCCTTGAAGAGTTAACATGTCCAGAACAGTGAAAGAAAAAGCTGCTTTTAGGTGAACTTCTGAGCCCCTCCCTTACACACTGGGTATAAAACTCTGAAACTCCCTGAACTCGGGGTTCAGGGGATTGATTGATTACAGCAAAGGCTGTACCCTCTGAACCTGGCTGCAGCCAAATAAAACTGTTTCCTGCTGTCTTCGGCCTGGTTTGTCCCTACAACAGTACTAGGGATTAAATCCAGGGGCACTGGACCACTGAACTGCATTCCCAGATCTTTTTATTTCTTATTTTGAGTCAAGAGCTCACTAAATTGCTAAGGCTGGTCTTGAATTTATGATTCCACCTTCCCAGTCACTGGGATTACAGGTATGTACCACCTCCCCTTGTAGGCCTAGAGGCATGCTTTTTTTTTTTTTTTTTTTTAATATTTTTTAGTTGTAAGTGGACACATATCTTTATTTTGTTTTAATATGGTGCTGAGGATCAAACCCAGTGCCTCACCCATGCGACCACTCTACCATTGAGCCACAACCAGCCCTAGAGACATGCTCTTCAAGATTAGTTCCTTGTGTATTCACCAAACATTTAAAGATCTTCAATTGTCTGTCAAGGCCACAGGACCCAAGGACCCTGCCCTAACCAGAGAGAAGAGGGAGGGATTCAACTGTTAGCGAAGGAAAAAAGCTCTTCCACTTGAGGAGACGGTAGAAAATAAGCCAAAGTGAAAAGATCCAGGGCTGAACTAACCATCCACACTTGCAAGGAGAGTCAGAAGGAAGTCTGCACAAAGGATTTGGATCTGTTCCAGGCTAAGGCCAACGGGAAGCTGAGGCCGCCCGTGTCAAACCCCAGGAACTCCTGTCCCAGGGGCTTGGATTCTGCCCATCAGGAAAAACAGGGCTTTTAAAGGCTAAATTCCAGGTGTGCAGTGACAGGGGTCCTGACAGTGTGTTGAAATTCACTTCATAGATCCTCCTCTTGTCGTAGGACAATTAATGGAAGAAAAGATAACACTGTCTCTCTAATCTTGTTAGGGTGAGGGAGTGGGGAGAAGACAGAGAAAAAACATGTTCTTTTAAAAATAAGCCTCAGAGCATATGTTCAGAGTTTCTATTCAAAAGGCCAAAGTGGACCACTGTTATAAGAGCAGAAATCATGAGTTTCCTGGAGGGTTAGGAAAGAGAAGAGGGGTCCCTGAGACACTTTCAAGGGAGAGTGGGTCCTCTCAGAAAAGGAAGGTGCACCCCCTCTGCTCTCCAGTTTTATTAGGGGTCCCAGAGAAGTTTCTGTTAGAGTCTGTAAAAAAGTCAAAATAACACCTGGCATTTTGCCAGGGGAATGTTAGAGTTGGTAAACAAGTCTGGATGATGCCTGGCAAAATGCCAGAGGGAGTGGTTTGAGAAGTAACAAAAGAGAGCCATTAAGTGTAGAGATTCCTGATTGGTTGACTGATGTATCTAGTTTATGCTAATTAGATAAGCTGTGTGGAATGTATAAATACTGCTCCTGTCCTGCAATAAACGGCTTCCACTCCTGCTGTATCAACATACACAAGTTCTTCGTCACCCCCCCGGTTATTTTGCTGCAGCCGAACTGCGGCAAGTTTCCAGAGAGTTTTGCCTAAATTCACCTCTTGACTCACCAGGGATTAACCCAGGACTGCTTAGCTGCTGAGTCATATTCTCAGCCTTTATAATAATAACAATCATTATTATTTTTAAAAGATTTGAGACAGAGTCTCACTGAGTTGTTTGGGGTCTCACTGAATTTACTGAGGCTGGCTTCCAATTTAGGATCTCTGCATGGCTGGCATTATAGGCATACTCCACGCCCCGCACTTCTTCATTTCTGATTGATAGCACAGAAACTGCAAGGACAACCTGGAAGAGAGAAGAGGATATGGTGGACTCAGAGTTGGAATTTTAAAGGAAATTGAATCTGCCTGTTTTTGCCTCAATTTCCTGCCGAACAGCTCTCAGCAAACTTTCTTTGTGAGGGTCTTGATGTTTTAATTGCCAAGGTGATTGAGGGTTGTGACAGTTTGGGTAATAAGGGAGGGCCCAGGCTGTCTGGGAAGGTGTGACATAATCTTGAAAAATAGTTTTACTTAAGTGCATGCAATTATGACTGGGGGAGGTTTTGACTTATCAGGCCCAATCTTCCACGGCCTGTCTGTCAGTCAGATAAGGCTCCCAGTGGCTTTCAGTCTCCTGTTGTCCTTTCCCTGCTTGCCCATTCATGGCTGAGTAACTACCCCACCGTTCTCAGCATGATCTTTGCTGGGGAGAACTAGAAAAGACTCCTATTTTCCCTCCCACAGGTCAGGAAGCCATAGATTAAGCTGTTTTATGGAGTTTAAGAAGCAAAGGAGGTGTGGGGAAACCACCATTAGAGGCAAAGCCAGTACAGCAAAGACTGTCTTTTCCTTATCAAAGGATACAATTTTATCTTGTTTTGAAAGTGTCAGGCCTAGCTGGGGGTATGACATGTGCCTGTAACCCAGCTACCGGGGTGGCTACTAGGGAGGCTGAGACAGGAGGCAATTTAGGCAGATCCTGTCTCCAAGCTAAAAGGGCTGTGAATCTAGTTCAGTGGTAGAGGGTTCCTGAGTTAAATTCACAGTACGAAAACACAGAACTTTAGGGAAAAATCAGATAAGATTTGAATTTCACAAAAACTTCTATCAGTCTTTGAATAACTGAGTAGGAAGTGGGTGGGTGCTAGAAGTGGAGGTTTCCTGACAGTAAAATAGATGGCTTTATTTTAGGCCTAGAAATCAGGTTTATCTAGGGTGAGCAGGAACAGCTGTCTGCTTTATTAAACAAATTTAAAAAGACAATTGCCATAGTGCCTGCAACAGATGTTAAGAGCCATTGAGCAATAGGATGGACATAGAAAGTAGAACATATTTCATATTTTCACTAAATTTCCTACATGCCTCTCTCTTGAATATGAACAGGTAGACTGACAGTGGATTGCATGTGAGGAATGGAGAGGGAACAAGGGGGGTCACTCTGGGTGTCTCTGTAGAGAGGCACCCAGATTTCTAGCTCTGGAATTTAGCTGGATGTTTGGGTTACTACTCACCAATGTAAGGAAGCTAGGAGAAGGAAGAGGAGAGATTGATGAGTGCCAAGAACTGAGAAGGGCCAGATTTTACCCAATGGGCAAGCTCTTAAATTAACCTGCTACAGTTTTGTGGGTGTTGGCAGAATTCATGAGCCTCCAGGGCGAGAGACAGGACAGTTTATTATTAACAGTGATTGCAATAGCCAAATAACTAGCATTTCTGATTGGGTTTCCTAGCTCAAATTCCCAGGAGGCAACATCTAGAGTGCTACATGATACCTGTGTCTGCAGTGGGTTGTGTTGCAGGAGAGGAATCCCAAACCTGGGGATCTCAATTCTTGTACAACGTGCAATAATAAGCATCCCTGACAAGGGAGCTGGAGACATATCTCTGTCTTCCAAAGGTGTTCGATACACTCTCAACCTTGAAAAAGTAATCCAGAACAAATGGAAGCTGGTTCCTGATAGAAGGACGTGCAAAAATATGAGACCCACAGAGAATGAGCTCTCAATGATGAATTCTATTTTCCGTAGCTGTGTTTAAGTATTTGAAGACTTTCAGGCTAAGGGAAACCAACGCACATTTTAGAGATTAGAATAGTGAAGAATAAAGATGTAATTCCAGTTAATTTAATCCAGTGTCGTTTAATGGCTAATACAAATTGTTTGCCTCTGGAACTGGATAGTCTACGTGTATGGACATTTACTACACTATATTCAGCCTACTCAAACGGAATGCCCACCTTCAGCTCCAAGACTGACCAGGTAAATGTCTCCAATAGTCCACGTTCCGGCCCAAACAAAACACTTTCAAAAGTGAGCCGGTCCCTTGCTGTGCTCGAGGCAGTAACTGAATCCCTTTGGAGAGGCACAGTGAGACCTGAAGGTGGACCGAGGGACAGAGGAACTGTTCTGGTTCCGGCTGCCTTCAGTTGGTTCTCTTCCTATTAGTTCACTTGAGGATTGACAGGGTCAGTGGAAGGTGGACGGAGGTTGCCTTGGTAACCAGATCAAGATGTTCTTGTGCAAATAGGAGACTCTGTCTCTAACGCTGCGCAAGATCTTCGCTGCAGGGGAAGAGATAAGGATGTGATCCGAGAACTGGGGAGCGCGGCAGCGGGCCCACTCAGGGCTGGGGATGTAGCTCAGTGGTAGAGCGCATGCTTCGCATGTATGAGGCCCCGGGTTCGATCCCCGGCATCTCCAGGCTTTTTTTTTTTTTTTTTTCTTTTTTGCCGGCCCTGCTCTGACAGGGAGAGCTTTGGACCGAGTCCCACCGCTGGACCTTAAAGCACTCTCCGCCTCGTTCATTTCCTATGGCGTTCTTTCAACCACTGCGAACACACGGTGTGGAGCGCGAGGGCCGGGATTGCAGCGAGGTATTTCTGAGCTCTGTGCCCTAAGCAAACGAATTGGAGACAGAACACCCACGCGGAAGTGCAGGCGGAGCGGAACGCACCAGCACTGGTGCTGCCCCGCCGCGGGTGGTGTTGGCCGGAGAACAGGCCTGGGAGCGGCGCTGCAGTTCGTGCGGCGAGGGGCCGAGACTGCTGCGCCGAGGCCTGCCCGGCCGCGACGCGCCACGCCTTCGGCAGCGGGAGAAAGGACGGACCTCGCCATTACCCGTCCGAGAGGCGCGGGCCCTCAGCGGCCGGTTAGCTCAGTTGGTTAGAGCGTGGTGCTAATAACGCCAAGGTCGCGGGTTCGATCCCCGTACGGGCCAGCTCCTTTCTTTTTCCTTTTCTTCCCTTTTGACATTTACATGTAAATTCTATCGCTTTTCTACGGAGAATTAAAGACCGGTTGTCCAGGGGCCACTGTTGGTTGACAGGCTGCCGCGGCCGCCGCCGCCGCCGCGGCCGCCGCCGCCAAGCCCTCGGTCCAGGAAAGTCCGGAACCCATATTAGAAGTCAGGTTCCGAGTCGGCCCCTCCTAAGGAAGCAGGGCTCCCCGGGTCGGCCGTAGACTCACTGCCAGGAGAGGGTCCGAAGGCGCCGACGCAGCCCGAAGGAGAGACGCTCCCGCCACTCCGGTCGCCCTCGCGGGCACCACTGGCGAGGTGTCGCCCCCACCTGCGGGCGGGACTCCCAGGCGGAGGGAGCTGCGCAGCGCCCGGCTGCCGGGAGCCGAGTGCCTGACGCCTGCACAGAGCCCGCTGCCCTCGCGGCCCGCCGCCTGCCGGGCGCAGCTGCAGGCCGGCCGCCCTCGGCTCGGTCCCCTGGGTTCCCTCGCAGCCGGCCTCGTCGTCCCCAGCCCCAGGCAGGGCCCGAGGTGGACACCCGCCGCGTCGCACATCCCCACTGCGGTGCCCCGAGTTTTCGCCGGTCTTGCGCTTTCCCGGGCAAGAGGCTCTCCTGTGGCCTCGCGGTCCCTGTGGGTCAGGTTGGCAGCGAGGCCACTGCGGCTCCTCGCACCTGGCGGACCCTGCTCTGTGGATCTGGGGCGGGCGACGACCCAAGCACGCCGGACTCCCGCGTTTTCAAGGAGCTCCGCTTCCTCCTACCAGGCTGGGTCAGCGCCCCCGGTTCTCAGAGAGGCTGCGTGTTTCTGGAAGGCGCGAGGTTTCCTCGACACCGCGTCTCGGAGAGCTGCCCGGTCCTTCGCTGGCCTGGTTTTAATTAGAGAAGGAAGGAGGGAGGGACGGAGAATCGACGTTGCGGACAGTTGCCGAGGACTAGATTCATGGGCCGCTGAGAGAGCCCCAGGCGTGCGGCTCGTTGGTCTAGGGGTATGATTCTCGCTTAGGGTGCGAGAGGTCCCGGGTTCAAATCCCGGACGAGCCCAAGTTTTCATCCCTGCTCTGGCTGGGCGGGAACAGTCCCTGGCCCCAAGCCCCACCCTACATCCGGTGGCGGCCGGCCAGAGAGCCCCACTTTGTGTCACGCGGGACTAGCGAGGTTTTCCCTTGGCTTTTCTTTCCTTCCGCTCCAAAGTGACCATTGAAACATACACACACACACACTCACTTTTGTGTGTGCCTCTAGTGTGGCGAAGGCAGCCAATGAGCAAGCACCAAGGCGGCTGAACAGGAAAAGAAAACCGCAGGCATTGTGTTCAGGGCTCCAGGAAGGGATGGAAGACCGGAAGACAGTTTATCTATTAAGAGTTTGGGGGGGGGTGCGGCTGCAGAGAGGAAGATTGACAGGTCGGGGGTGCAGTTTGTTAGAACAACAATAGATACGCACAGCAGGGTAACCATGGTTGACAGCCAGTGACGAGGATTTTGAACTTTCCCAGTTGGAAGGAAAGATAACTGTTCGATGTAATCGATTTGCCAATTGTCCTGATGGGATCATTTACGTATTGATTATGTATGTGTATTGAGATATCACTGTGCCTCCAAGCACAATTACTATTTGTCAAGTACATGTGTGCTTGTTTGTATATATAAAAGATCCTGTCCATTTCTATTCTAGAAGAAATTTTAAAAAACCCATCAAACTTTAAAAAAGAAAGAAAAAAAAAAAGAAAGAAAGAAAAAGTCCATCGTGCCCTTGACATACGGTGGTAAGAAACTGAAAGCACGTCTGTGGTTGTGGTATCAGGAAACTTATCTCCCATTGGTCCATAATGACACCTGTTTGGGCTAGAAACTGGAGTCACCATTTCTCAAAACCGCAGGAAGCGCTATCACACTGTTCCTTGCTTGGACTGTTGGCCCCATCTGCATCCTTCCAACATTTCTGCATGCCTCTCCTATATCATAACCCTTTCTGGTGGTGCTTGTGCTTCAGAAATGCCCGAGGAACTCGTCCATTCAGAGCCCACGTCCTAGTGCAAACCTGCAGAACATGCACCGTGTGGAACTTGGACACTGGTGAGTTTAACAGGTGTCTGGTGTTACGATCGCCAACAGGCCGGATGCGCGTCTCCGCCAGGGGGCGCTGAGACAAAAATTCTGCAAAACTTGCAGAGCTGGCGGGAAAAGTCAGTCTGCTGTTACCATTTGCGGTGATTCCATCATTCCATGAGAATGAACAGCTCTAAAATTGGGACCTGCTTGATTGCAGCGACTTACACTCTTAAGGTAGTAATGATGATAAGGTCACCAAAAGCCAGACGCCCAACGTGGGGCTCGAACCCACGACCCTGAGATTAAGGGTCTCATGCTCTACCGACTGAGCTAGCCGGGCACCTGCGGTGGGACCTTTTTCCCCAATGTATTAGAAGAATACGTAGCTTTTTTGGGTGTGGGGGGTCAAATTGAGAATATTGGATTTTATCTGGTTGTTTATTTGAGCTTCTTAGATAAGAGGAAATGAACCACAAAGAATGCAAGCACTACCTTTGGTTATTAGCATACTACATTTCCCTTCTTTCCTCCCAATCTCACCAATTTGTGTTAGACCACAAAATGCCCCCAGGATCTAAGAATCTGCTCTGGGTGCTGCGAGAGTGACCCTAACGATGGCATCCAGACAGGTGGCCAGCTTGGCTCTGAGCATAGTCTCCCGGAGCCCATTTCTTCAAGTGCTCACATGACCCAGGACCCTCTCTGACCCACTGAGGTTTTCTGTTCCAGTTCCCTCACCCATCCTCCCCTTCTGGCTCTTGAGTTAAGAACAGACTTTAAGGCGATAATAATACAAACTCTGAGAACCAGTTGTTAGGCGGCTCCTGGTGACAAAAAGGATCGAATCAGATCACAGTGGTAGCAAGAGAAGAGGTAAGAAATGCCTGAATTTCTAGGTCTATCTGGAAGGCTGAGTCCGTGGGATTTCTGGCAGATTCTGCCGAAGTCTGGCTGGGCACAAATCACGAGCCACTGAAGCAGGAACAAACTCCTGCTGTATCAATCTACACAAGTTGTTCGTCACCCCCCGGTTATTTTGCTGCAGCCGGACTCCGGCAGATTCGAATGGGAATGTGAAGGACAGTCAAAACTCTGAAGTCAAGATGCAGGCTTGAAAAATGCATACCAAGAGATAAAACTAAGTGGGCTAGTGCATTTTTCAACCGCCTTTAACTTTGGGAAGGCCAAATCCACCTAATATATGACCAAAGCAAAGGGAGTCAGATGAAAACAATAGTTATGTTGCTGTGAAAACCTGATTCTGCTGTCTCCACCCCATGGAATCTGCCAGAGCCCCAGAACATTAGTATTGCCTTGAAAGAGTGCCCATCCCTGACAATACAAATTACCTGCTCTCCATTCCCTTCCACACGAGCTTTACTTTTTTCTTTACACCAACACCGGAATATTATTAATATCTCACTTGCTCTGTGTGAGATGTTATATCCAGTTTAAAATCTATTTCATAAAATAAAGACAAAACAAAAACTATTTCATATTTTACCTATTTAGATATATGGCACCTATAGTTAGGCAAAGGAAATCGTGCATTTTAAATTGGATGGAGGGACTCCCTAGAATTTGGAGGTGTAGCTGGTATATATACCTTGAAATTGAGAATCATGTGCCCACCTAAAATGGATTAATTTGACCGCAGAAGTAACTTTCTTAGACTACATTGAGATTTGACTGTTTCCTAAGACTCCTTTAAAGAAGAGCAGGGGTCTTCCAAATCAATTGAACACGTTTTTATTAAGGGCCTTTTCTGTAGATATTTAAAATGAAAACATGAATCCAGCATGATCCCTTCCTTCAAGAAAGCTGCCTGCCATGTGCTGCTTAGAGAGGCCCACAGAGTGCTGAGAATCCATGTCTCCCTTTGTATCTCTTTTGAAAGTACACATTTTAGAAGTTTCCCTCATAAGATTCCATTCAAATAAATTTGAAAACATTTTCCTTCTAAAGAAAGCCACTCAATTTGGAAAGGCCAGATGGAAACACATGTAGGTTACAAGGCTCTCACCTATTTTCTGAGTCATTTGCCTTCCCCTACCTCCCCCCTTCCTTTTTTCTTCTTTCTTAGACCTCTATCACCACCCCACTTTGCTGCTTCCACCTCTGTGTAGAAGCCTTCTCACCCAGGACGATAGGACTCCTTGGATAGCAATTTCATTAGTTTTCCTGGCTGTGGCCATTATATGAGCCCCATTGGCACCTGCACCCATACAGTCCTTCTGAGTCACCCCATCTCCTCAAACCCTAGCAGAAGACCTGTGACTGAAATGAAACCAATACGTCCTTAACTTTGGAAAATTAGTCACTGTCTTGCTTATTATACCATGTCAAAATTAAAAGTAAATGGAGGTCTACCCTACTCCCAATAACATGAAAAAATAAATAAAAGGAAAAGAAAATGAAAAAAGATAGAAAAAAGGTGTCATAAATGGGCTGATTTAACATAAATTAGCTCTTCAACTTGATTTTAACTCTATGGGGTTAGGGAATAAAGTAGGAGTGACAGTTTGAAAAAATAATGATGGTGATAGAATTGGGTTATCTAAAAATCACCTGTGTTTTCCAGTAAAATCTAAGAAATAAAGACATTATATTTATTCCTTATGGATTTTCTATTTACTATTGAAAAGACAGACATGAAGGACTTGCAGACCCTGTGTATGGTTTTAATAAGCCTGGACTCCCTTTCCCCTCTGGTAACCTCTGCCTGATGCTTGTGACTTGTGCTTGAGCACTGTGAGAACAATACAGGGATGTCCTACATAGAACAATATTGCCAGTTTTAATTTGCCCTCGTGTCAATTGATTTACTGGGTTTGTGGTTCACAAAGATCAGTCCCCTTGGCTGCACTTTTTTTTTTTTTTTTTTTAAAGGACCGAAATACTTAAAAATGTAATTTCCTGCTGAATCCAAGACCCATGGCAACATCTCCAAAACCAAGGCCTGGACTTGCCAGCCAACCTGATTTGCACTATGACACTTTAAATTGCAGAGGAGTCCTTGATTAGAGGAGGTAAAAAGGCTTGGGGGTGTCTTAGAAGTCTTCTAAGACTGGGAGTCTTAAACAACAGAAATTAACTTACTCATAGATCTAGAGGTTGGGAAGTCCAAGATCAAAGTGCTGAGTGGTTTGTTTTCTGACAAGGGCTTTCTTCCTGGCTTGCAGACACCTGCCTTCTTGCTATGTTCTCTAGTGGAGCGACAAAAAAATCCTTCATGAACTCTGGTGTCTTTTAAGAACACAATTCTATTGGATCAGGGCTCCAGAGTTTTTATCTTATTTAATCTTAATTACTTCCTTGCTTCACCTTATCAAAGCATTCAACTTAGAACACTTGGTCTTGAGAGGTGCAAAGAGGAGACAAGAATTCAGGGACTTAATCCTGCTTCTAGGGCAGACTTGGAAACCTGTCCCAGGCTGGGCCACAGATCAAAGAAGTAGGAAGTGTTCTGCCCAAGAGCAGTTACCTGAGCTAGCTGTCCCAAAGGGTAGCAGTCTTATGCAGCTCAGAAACCCATAGCAGTATGCAACAAACGAACTCGGCCATCTTTAGAAAGTATTGTTCAAGAGATCTTCTGTACACACAACTAGATTCTGGGGTGTAACCTCTTGGAAAGTGACCTAAATTGAAGCAAAGAGAAATTAACCTAATCTATTAATATTAGAGTTTAAAGATAAAATTAATTTTCATTCAAGCCTATCACACAGGAGCCTCATGAAAGATAAAGTATTACTCCTTTGCTTCTGTAAGCAATTCTAGGATTTGAGTGGAAGAAGTAGTATCATTTTCTCATTAATTTTTACATTTGTACAAAACCCAATAGGGTTGGGGGTAGAGCTCAGTCATAGAAAACTTGCCAAGCATGAGCAAGAGAGCAGAGACAGAATGTGAGCCTCAGACTGTTACAGAAACTGGAAACAAAATTAACTAGTTCCTATGTGTGTCAACCCATTGCTCTGTCATCCTAAATATCAGAAATCTATAAAACTAAAGAGGAGCAGTTTTATGGTTGTTGTATTAAATTTTGTATGTTTTTATAAGTGTCCTATATGTAGGACGATGGGACATGTGTTAAGATCGTTACATTAAAAGTGTTTGTTTTCGCTCCATATTGATGGGGTCTGTCCGAGTTAAAAGTGTAACGATCTGGTTTATCTACAGGGACAAACGCCAATGAAGGTACATTGTAGTATGCTATTAAGTTTCTTTTCTTCTTTTTTTTTTCTATTGAGTTTTAACTTTTTTTTTTCTCTTGCTCCTCCTCCTCCTCCAACTAATCATCTCGCTGAAACTGCAGATGGAAGTATTTCAAATCCTGTTTATAAGTGGAATTCAAAATTGGCTATTTAAATTTATCACAATGAAATGCCAGTGCTAAATTCTTCTGAATTCCTGGGCCTCCTTATTTTCTTTCCTTTGCAAACTCGTGAGCGGCGGACCGGGCTGGTTTTCGGATCCCGGGTCCATAGCTTAGCTTTCCAAGGCTTTGGAAAAGGTGCAGGAGCCTCAGGACACCAGGGCGTGAGCAGTGAAGCCGCGCGGCACAGCGTTGGCACCCGCAGCGGCGCGGCCGTCTGCGTGGCCCTTCGATAGCTCAGTTGGTAGAGCGGAGGACTGTAGCGGGCGCTCCTCAGGCATCCTTAGGTCGCTGGTTCGAATCCGGCTCGAAGGAGCTCACGTTTTGCGATCGCCATCCCCACTCTCGGAAGGCGGATTCCCTCGCGTCTGTGCTCGCTGAACCCGTACAAAACGTTCTCGGTGTCCGCGAGTCTCCCCGGATTTAAAAAATTATGCTTTGCAACAACTTTTAAACACCCCTAATCCGATATTGACCGTCGTTAATGTGATTCAAAAACTTATGCTTTGCAACAACTTTTAAACACCCCTAATCCGATATTGACCGTCGTTAATGTGATTCAGTCCCCGGAAAATCCTCCAGCCCTGATAAAGCTGGTCCGAGCGGCGGTGGGCGGATTCCCACGCGCGTCCGCCCCTCCGCCGGGCCACAGCCGGAACGCAGCAGCGAGACCCGCGGAGCGGCCACACGGCGGGCACGCGCGCCCCCTGGTGGCAGTAGCCCGCATCGCTCAGGCTCCCGGGCACTCTGCGGACCCCTTCACCCCAGAGCCCCGGCCTGGCGATTTAGGGGCCTGTTTGTCCCTCTCAGCTAAAGGACATCAGGCTGGTTTTCAGTTGCGGCTGAGAAAAGTGTGGTGCACTTACGAATCTCCTGGAGAGACGTTTATGCCGCCTGCGACTCGGGTCCCATTGGAGTTGACAGTCACTGCTGGCAGAGAAACCAGAACAACAGGAAGGAAGAATCACCAGGGAGACGGGCGCAGTGTCCTCCCCCTCGGGGAATGAGCTCCAGAGCAGAGCTCTCACTTAACAGGACACACTTGATAATTTTGTGCCAATCTCATTAAAAGGTATTAATTCCTCTCTCAAAAATGTGATCTCAGAGACCCAGAGACCTCGACGACAGGAACGTTAGATCAACGCCGTAGCAAAGGAATCTTGGGTCGCAGTACAAGAGTCGCACGAGGATGCTGCGCCTGGCACCGTCTCCTCCGTCCTCTGCCGCCCAGCTCTAGGCTTTAAGTGAAGGACACCTGGACGCCGGTGTGTGCGGAACCGTCTGCGGGGCTCGTGAAGAACGTGGAGGCCGGGCCTTCTCGGGACAGCGGTCCGAGGTCACCGCCTGAAGCGCTCTACAAACCGCTCCCATCAGGGCGACAGCGGCAGCGGTAACGGGCAGCTCGGGGTGAACTTGCTCATTTGAGAGCGAGTTGGGGTTGCTCGCTCGCTCTCTCTCTCTCCTCTCTTCCTCTGCTCTCTGCTCTCTTTCTCTCTGCCCTCCTCCTCTCCTCTCTGCCTCTCCTTTTCTTCTTCTTGGGGCAGCCCCCCAATAAACCTCTCGGTTAAAAAAAAAGAAAGCGAGTTGGGGGGCTTAAAAAAGACTCCGATTTTCTTTCCAAAGGTGGCGCTCGGGCCTTGGGGGCCTTTAGTAGATAGCCCCGGTCGAAGATCCCCGCGAAGGCCGCGCGTTCCCCTGGGGCAGGCGCCCTCCGCAACCCTGTCCACACTGGGCAGCTTCGTGGTCCAGCACCTGCGGCAGCCCGAGGCCCCGGTGCTGGCTGACTCCAGGGCCGGGAGGGGTGGACGGTTGTGAGGACTCCGGCTGGTGGTCAGCGGGCCGGACGGGAGAGACACGTCGTGTGGGGAGAAACCTGCAACCCGCTGGGGGAGCCCGAGTTCGGGTCGGCAAGACAAGGGGAAAGGGAGATCCGGGAGGACGGAGGGGAGAGGAGATCCGGGAGGACGGAGGGGAAAGAGGGATCCGGGAGGACGGAGGGGAAAGGGGGATCCGGGAGGACGGAGG